GTGTTTTAAATCTTGATGTTCAGATAGCAATATAACTCACAAAAATTAGGTGACCTAAAGTGTGAGGATGGTAATTATCTGTCTTTAATATAAAAGAGTAAACTGATACTTTCTAAAATTGAAATGTTTAGTTAATTAATTATGTAACACTTTGTTTTTACTCATAATTTTTTTAAGCCTCATAAAGATTTTTAATTAAAAAAAGCCTTTCATGTGGTAAAGAAAGTCATCTGAATTTTTAAAATTTTTTTTATTGTTTCATGTCCTTTTCTTTTTTTTCTGTTAAATGTAAAATTATATTTGATGCTTTTTATTTAAAATAAAATTTAGTATGAGTTTCTTCTATCCTTCTTTATTCCCTCTTCCTTCCCTTCTCCTTTCTTGCCTTCTCTTATTCTCCATAAAAAGATATTTAATGTTTATTGTTATTTATTGTGTTACTTTTAGGTAGTAGTATTTTAAGTGTTGTACTTTCTATTTCCCTATACTTTATGAATTTCTATGTTGTATATGATTTACAAAAGCAATTACATAATTATGAAAAATGAGTTAAAATAAAAATTTTAAAATGCTATAGTAGAAAGAGTGAATATTAAGTATAAATGAAGAAATGACAGAATCAAAACTTAAAATGATAGATTTTATTCAAGAAAATTATAAAAACCTTTTATTGCCACAAAATCCCTTGAAATTCAGAAAGTGGAGAGTATTTGTCAATGAGTTGACAAAGTAAGAATTTTCCTGATATTATTAGAGATCTTATAATTAGTAGAAAAAAGATGAACACACATTAAAAAGTGGGTCACAGGACAGTATCAGGAAGTTCTTGGAAGTAGTATAAATGCTTCGAAACTTTCAATTGATCAGCAATTCTTGTCAGTGAAAATAAGATCTAGTTTTTACATACCAAACTAACTATGTTTCTGATTGTTATAATACATAGGGTTGGTAAAATGCATTTATACCTTAATAGTAGAAATATAAATGTACATATTTTTGGAGGTCAGTTCAGCAAAGTCTCATAAAAATTAAAATATAAAAAGCTTTTAACCTGATTTCGGTTTTTATCCTAAGGAAATAGTCATGATTATGCCCAAAGATGTGTCTAAAGGAAAATTTTATTTATGGTAGAAAAAAATGGGAAATTACATAAATGGCTAACAGTAGTGAATGGATAAAACAATTATGCTACTCTTTTTTTTTTTTTTTTCCCCCGTAAATGGCGTTTTGCTCTGTTGCCCAGCTTGAAGTGCAGTGATGCAATCTCTGCCCACTGCAACTTACACCTCCCATGTTCAAGTGATTATCCTGCCTCGGCCTCCTGAGTAGCTGGGATTACAGGTGCCTGCCACCGTGCCTGACTAGTTTTTGTATTTCTAGTGGAGACAGAATTTCACCATGTTGGCCAGGCTGGTCTTGAACTCCTGACCTCAAGTGATCCTCCCACCTCAGCCTCCCAAAGTGCTAGAATTACAGATGTGAGCCACCGCGCTTGGCCAATTATGCTCCATTTTTCTTATCAGTTATATTTTATGACACTGAAAAATACACAGTATATTGTTGATTTAAAGTAAACAAAGTATAAATTACCTTATATAGAACAATTTCCATTGTATTCCTCTCATCCTCTCATTTATATCTGTGTGTCATATGTGGATTTATATGCATAGCAATTAATCTGTATATAAAATGATATTTATAATGATTATGTTGGGTTACAGAATTATGGGGTTTCTTTTCTTTCTTTTTTGTTTTCTTTACTGTTTTCACATATACTCTGAATTTGTTACAAGAAGTATCTTTTTTTTTTTTTTTTTTTTTTGAGACAGAGCCTCACTCTGTTGCCCAGGCTGGAGTGCAGTGGTGCAATCTCAGTTCACTGCAACCTCCGCCTCCCAGGCTCAAGCCATTTTCCCTCATCAGCCTCCCAAGTAGCTGGGACTCTAGGTGCATGCTGCCACGCCCAGCTAATTTTTGGATTTTTAGTAGAGATGGGGTTTCACTATGTTGGCCATGCTGGTCTTGAACTCCTGACCTCAAGTGATCCGCCTGTCTCGGCCTCCCAAAGTGTTGGGATTACAGGCATGAGCCCCACACCTAGCAACAAGAAGCATCTTTGACCACCCCACAAAAAGATTGTTTTGTGAAGAAGAAAATTGAAATACATTTCAGTGGAATGTATAGTAAGCTAATACATCTATAATGTGCATGATTACAAGATTCTGTAAAAATAATAGATGACACTCTTGATCCATGTGGGCAGAAGTCCTGTCAAACTCAAGATATAAGCAAATCAGCACTAAAACTGAAGTCTCTTTAGATCTTAAAGGTAATTTTGATATTAGTTTTTCCAGTAAATGTTCCCCTGAAGCCTTTCCTGAACTAAACCCACAGAGCTAGGTCTTTCATTAGAAGTCCTATAAGGAACAAAATCATGTGATGTACAGGGGCAGTGCACCATTTCCTGCCTAATATGATGGATGGTATTTTATTTATCTCTTGACTGCTGTGCAGCAAAATTTATGGTAAGTATTGTTTTAAAGCAAACTATAGGAGGAAGCTGACTTCTCTCTTCCCTGGTGTATGCACAGTATCTTCAAGTTTCCCCCAAACCTAGAATTAAGCACCTGTATAAACATTTGCATTGGAGGAGATAATCAAGAGGGCAAGGATTTCTTTGGTAGCTGAAGTAGCATAGTTAAGAGAGTATTCTAAATTTCAGATAGCCTACTTAATTAATTAGTTCAGTTTTTTGAGACCGGGTCTCACTCTGTTGTTCAGGCTGGAGTGCAGTGGCGCAAGCCCACTGCAGCATTGATCTCCAGGAATCAAGTCATCCTCCCCTTCTTGAGTAACTGGGGATGAGAGGAGCCTGCCACCATGCCCATCTAATTTTTTTATTTATTTTATTTTATTTTATTTTATTTTATGTAGTAGAGATGAGGTCTTGCTGGGTTGCCCAGACTGGTCTTGAACTCATGAGTTCAAGTGAGCCTCCTGCCTTGACCTCCCAAACTGCTGGGATTACAGGCATTAGCCACTGAGCTGGCCTTCAGATAGACTAATTTAGACATATGTTTACCAGCTCCTTGTAACAGAGATCTGTTTCAAGGTCTGTGCTTTGTCATTTGTTCTTTCCTGATTGGGAGCAAAGGAACACTTAAGGCCTCCTTTTCTTGGGCTAGGCTTGAGTTGGAAGAGATTTAAACCTCCCTTCCATCGTCCCATAATACTCATTAGCCCTGTATTTTTTTTAATAGCCATTTGACCTTTTTCAGTCATATTTAAGTGTTTTGCAAACACAGCCACAGGACAGATGCCCTAGCTTCCTTTTGAGTTTAGGTAATTTTCCTTTTTCCTTGCCTGGACTGAGGCGGATAGGGTAAGGGGATCAACAGTCCTGTGCCTTTTGTTATGGAGTGTGGCACTTGGAAGCTGATGGTAGAAGAGACCTTTTGCAGATGAATGGTACCCACATAAATGGGTCATTTGATTTCTGTATTAATTATGGTAGCAATAGCTGCCATAACTGATAGATAATGAAATTCTAGTCACTTACCAGGTAGTATTTTATTTCATGTTCACTTAAAATCCAAATAGGCTTTCCCAAGCAGTTGATTATCTTACAGTGATTTAGAGACCCAGGCAGCTTCTCCCACCTTGTGGCTCCATTGTCTTTCTTCTGTGGATCTGTGTTGCTGGCTTGCGGAAAGAGCATGGAAAATGTGCATGAGTGCTTTTCCTGTGGGTCAGGCCTCAAAATAATCTATAACTGTTCTGTTCACATTTTATTGGCTAGAACTCAGTTAAATAGCCACACTTGGCTATAAGAGAGGCTGGAAATGTAATATAGATGTGGACCCAGGAAGAAAGGAACCAGAGTTTGATGATTACTTTGTCAGACTGTGTCACAGTTGCCAAAACCAGAGAATAGAAAGTTGAAGAAAGAAATGAAATACTGAGAGCTGGGAGAGAAGATGATCCAGATTTTGAATTCTTTTTTTTTTTTTTTTTCTTGAGACAGTGTCTCACTCTGTCCCCCAGGCTGGAGTGCAGTGGCACGATCTCGGCTCACTGCAACCTCCATCTCCCAGATTCAAGTGATTCTTCTGCCTCAGCCTCCTGAGTAGCTGGGACTACATGCGTGTGCCACCACGCCCGGCTGATTTTTGTATTTTTAGTAGAGATGGGGTTTCACCATATTGGCCAGGCTTGTCTCGAACTCCTGACCTCGTGATCCGCACACCTCAGCCTCTGAAAGTGCTGGGATTACAGGCGTGAGCCACTGCTCCCGGCCCAGATCTTGAATTCTAAGGAAGTAACACAAATGAGAGGCCGGTAGTAATTCTTGAGCTAGAGCTAAGAGTTCCAGGATGGTTCCTTTAATGGAACCTTCTATCCTAAGTGTGGGTGTGGGAGGGACAAAATTAAATCAGGCAACATTAAGTAGAAAGGTATTTTTTAAATCCATTGGTAGACCACAAATACAAGCAATGATGGACTCTCTTTAATTATGCAGAATTATTTTGTTTTATGACCTCAAAATTAAGCTATCGTATTTACTTTTAACCATAATTTTAGTTCTTGATGTTAAGGTTTGTTACAGTCTATGTTATAAACTTTGAATTTGGATAGAAATGATTTAAAAATTATGTGGTCTCTATGTTAGGGGAAACCAATAGTTTTAACCCAATAAAATCACTTCTAAATAGTTATTTGAAATTTGAAAATAATAGCAATGACATTTATGTAATATTTCATAATCTGTACATTTCACATTTTAGTTCACACAGATATTTTATTTGAAAAGTTTTTAACAGTCTTGGAACTTTAGGACACAGTTGTGTTACAAACTGTTGTTTCTATAGATGGAAGTTCATAAAAATAATTACTTGTATTATTCTGTATCTGCTTGTAAATTGTTCTCTCTTATCTAAAAGTCATGTGAGCAGAGAATCCAATGTGTTTCATGGTGTTTTATTTTTCCCCCTTCTCTCCAGGAGAAAAGTTGAAATTATGCACACCCATAGTCTTTTCACTCTTCTTGGAGAAAGGCTGATGTTGCATACAAACACTGTGACTGTCACCACATACAACACACTTTATGAGGTAAAAATAAAAAATGTGTGATGAAAGTTTTAAGTGTATACAGTGGAAACCCTCTAAATCTATGCAATTGAGATGAGTAGTTGGTCTGTTAATCTAAAAGCTAATTAAACCAGAAAATGGTTTAATGGTAAAAAATGAATACATACTTTATATTTTTATTTTATTTTAAAACATATCCATGTACAAGTTTTGCCAATCTCTTTATGTCTATCCAAGAGCTTTTCTTCTAGTATGGGTTGGCTGACTGGCTTCACACAAAGTCTTTCTCACATAAACTACATCCATTACATATTATATATTAGTTCTACTTTCCCATCCCCACCCCTCTGTTTTTTTCCTCTCCTTCCTACTCTCTCCCTTTCTGCTTCTATTAGCTGTATCCACTGCCAATATTAAGCTAGAGTTGCTACTGGGATAAATTTAGGTAAGAATTATTTGTAAAAATGATATCTGGAAGCATCTTTGGATCTCATCATTTCAATTTAGAAGTTCCTTTTTTATCACTTCCAACAAATGGAATAGTTTTGGGTTCAGTATTTTCTACAAAATGTGTATACTACCTTACAAGAGTGGCTACTTTCATTTTTAAATGCTAGTAAAATGTTAGTAATGTCCCCTTACATTAACCTTAAGTCCGCTTTTCCTATAACTCATCTTCAGTGGTCCCAGTTTTTTTTTCTCTAGCCTAAGAGCTAACTGCCAGCATCCATTTTTGTATGGCTCTAAGTTAAGGATGCTTTTTTATATTTCTAAATGGTTGAAAATAATCAAAAAAAGAATAATATATGAGTTGTAAAATTTATAGGATTTTCAAATTTCAGTGAACACAGTCACACTCATTTGTTTAGCTATTGCCTGTAGCTGCTTTGTGCCACAACCACAGAGTTAAAGAGTTGTAACAAGAATATTTGTTATGCTCTCCTCACCTTGCACTGTTGCTTGGCAAACTAGAAATTACAGAGATGTAATAACTCAACAGTGTTTCATGTACCGCCTGTATTGCCAAAACTAAGTTTTCTGCTTTTAAATACCAGTGCATACCCATCATGTCTAAACAAGAAGAAAAATGGATTTCTAATCTCACACTTTGAAATACAGCAGAGTGTAGATTATTTTGTTATAGATTTAGATGAAAAGACTTTGCATCTGTTATACAAGGGCATTATAGTCATGCTAAGAGAAAACTTACAGGTACTACCAAATATCCATAATATTATGCCTAACTTGGAAGAGCAGTGGTCAGGAAACATTAAACAGAATATCTCATCATTGTAGATTTATTTATAAAAGTGTTTTTAAAATGAAAATGAGAGACATTGAGAAAGGCAGATGCTGAGATTCTGAATGAAATTGTACTATAATTTTGAATTAACCTGTAGTCTCAGTTACTTGGAGGGCTGAGGCAGGAGGATTGCTTGATCCCAGGAGGTCAAGGCTGCACTGAGCTGAGATTGCGCTGCTGCGCTCCAGCCTGAGTGACAAAGTGAGACTCTGCCCGCTTCAGAAAAACAAAACAAAACAAAAACAGAAACAAATTTACTCTTCTCTAATACTGTTTCTTTTCATGTAAGCCATGGAACAGATCAACTCAGTTTCAGATTTTGCACAGTCCTCAAACAGGATAGGTTTTACATTTTTTTTAATTTGGAGATTTTTCTATTTCAATTTTATTTTTTCTTTTAAAAAATTTTTATTATATTTTAAGTTCTAGGGTACATGTGCACAACGTGCAGGTTTGTTACATAGGTCTACATGTGTCATGTTGGTGTGCTGCACCCATTAACTCATCATTTACATTAGGTATTTATCCTAATGCTATCCTTCCCCCAGACCCCCACCCCCTGACAGGCCCCAGTGTGTGATGTTCCCCGCCCTGTGTCCAAGTGTTCTCATTGTTCATTTCCCACCTGTGACTGAGAACATGCAGTGTTTGGTTTTCTGTCCTTGTGATACGTTGCTGAGAATGATGGTATCCAGCTTCATCCATGTCCCTACAAAGGACATGAACTCATCCTGTTTTATGACTGCATAATATTCCATGGTGTATATGTACCACATTTTCTTAATCCATTCTGTCATTGATGGACATTTGGGTTGGTTCCAAGTCTTTGGTATTGTGAATAGTGCCACGATAAACATACGTGTGCATGTGTCTTTATAGCAGCATGATTTAAAATTCATTGGGTATATACCCAGTAATGGGATCACTGGGTCTTTGGTATGTCTGGTTCTAGATCCTTGAGGAATTGCCCCACTGTCCTCCACAATGGTAGAACTAATTTACACTCCTACCAACAGTGTAAAAGTGTTCCTAATTCTCCACATCCTCTCCAGCATCTGTTGTTTCCTGGCTTTTTTTTTTTTTTGTACATTAAGTTCTAGGGTACATGTGCACAATGTGCAGGTTAGTTACATTTGTATACATGTGCCATGTTGGTGTGCTGCACCCATTAAATCGTCATTTACATTAGGTATATCTCCTAATGCTATCCCTCTCCCCTGCCACAATAGGTGTGTGATGATCCCCTTCCTGTGTCCAGGTGATCTCATTGTTCAATTCCCACCTATGAGTGAGAACATGCAGTATTTGGTTTTCTGTTCTTGTGATAGTTTGCTGAGAATGATGGTTTCCAGCTGCATCCATGTCCCTACGAAGGACATGAACTCATTCTTTTTTATGGCTGCATAGTATTCCATGGTGTATATGTGCCACATTTACTTAATCCAGTCTGTCACTGATGGACATTTGGGTTGATTCCAAGTCTTCGCTATTGTGGTGAATAGTGCCGCAA